CGTTCTTCGTACTTTTAAGTCCATTTGTAAATCAAATTTTATTATATCAATGTTCCGACAAAGAGTAATGAGTTTATTTTGTCAGCAATCGCGACCTTTACATGTGTGCGGGTGAATCATGTGTCACGCAGATCCTCTCTCTTATCTGCGGGTGATAAAGGAGGGGTGCGTGCGAGTAGTGCTGTATGAGAGAAGAAAAAACAGGTTTGATTCTTTGGTACCTTCGTCTGAGTATGCACGGTCGATTTGTGCACGTTCGTTTTACAGTGTTATGCATGTTCGTTATGGAAAAAGACAAGAAAATCAGACGATGTCGAAGATGAGATGATTGTGACAAAAGCTGTCTTTTTCTTTATTTAGACGTGTCGGACTTTGCTATGGCTGCCATACACACTTCTCCAAAAGATGCAGAAAAAGAGATCGACCATTTGGTCGACGTTTATGACGACATTGTGCGACGATGGAAATTGGAAGACGTTATGATTCTAGGCGACTTCAACGCAGGCTGCAGCTATGTCACTAAGTCTGAGTGGAGAAAAGTTAGGCTTGCAACGGAAAAGCGATTCTATTGGCTAATTTCTGATCAGATGGATACCACTGTGGCGAAATCCGATTGCCCGTATGACAGGTAAATTTGATATTACTAATAATAGTAAAGATAATATTAGTAAAGATAGTAGTAATAATAAAGATAATATGATGACGATAATAACGACAACGAAGAGCTTAGAAAGCTGAACATCGATCAGCGAAAACTGAAGAAGCTTTGGTGCTGCATCGGTGGCTGGGTTTCGGGGGAGGGGGGGAGGGGGTAAAAGCATAACTAATTTGGCTTTATCAACCGAGTTGATAATGTGAAATACAAGGACTCTTGAACGTTAAACTGGTCTCCTGGAAGAAGACGTCATTAGCGCAAGGTTCCACGTCGAAATCACACCTGAATGCAAAATCCGTCAAAGGGATACCACGGCATGTAATATCACCGTTTTGATCTACATTTTTTTATAGGATTGTAGTCGCCGGGTATAACATGACCAGAGGAGTTTTTGCAGACAGTGCCTATGTGTTTAATTACAAAGACGCTTACGGATTGACTGAAGACGAGGTACACTATTCTTGTACAATGATGAGAGGTCTTTTATGGAGTTATTGATGACTCCGCCATACCCTTCAAAAAGTTAGAGCAGTTTACAAAACCAGCGTGCATAGGTCTGCATCGGGTTCTCCTCCGATGGAGGATTTTAGCAAGGTGTTCCGCTTCTCTTCAAGTTTCCGTCTTGTTTTTTTGATCGTGTAGGCTGATCGTCTGGGTGTGAGTGGCCTTGAAAAGTCTGTAATAGTGACTGACGCTTCGAAGACAACCCAAACGGAAAATATCAATGAGTCAAGCCAGGAATTTTTCGCTAATGGGGTGTAATTGCTTCATAAGACTAGTTCTTGTAGTTATTGGGAATTCTCCTGATGTTAGAGTAGTTTTCTATTAACCATTGAAAGTGATCTGTGATTGCTTTGTTTTTGCTTTATTTCGCTCTGTGATTGGTCAATAAAACTCCCGCCACCACCTCAACCAATGAAATGCAGAACTAAAATCAAATTTATTTTTGTCACCCGCGTTTCCCCGCGCTTCACACAGGTTGCCTGTTTTTACTTTGAGTTCTCATTGGTTAATGACGGTGTTAACCTTTGTTCTGATTGGTAGTTGTGATTACTTTGGTTTTGGTTTCTCCACAATTAATTGAAAACTGCTCTCGAGTAGTTTTGATCCGTCGTCAAGGTCGGGTGATTTTCCTCAGTAAGTTTATTGAGTCAATGTCGCGTTTTAGCCATTTTCAAGGTGTTTGCTGCATGATATTTGTCGACATCTGTTGAGAGAAGAACGTTACAATTTAGTAAACCATTATCCAAAGTCAGTCCTTGAAAGTAGTTGGTACACTCGATGAAACATCCCCCAGAGTCTTGTTCAACAATGTTACTGTTAATGAATTTGAATATATCAATATCATACATGTGCACTGCGGATTTAAGAAATGCATGAAAGCGATCCTTGCAGTAATGAAAACTATTTATGCAGTAAAGAAAGTAACCCCTGAAAAAATTCAGGCCTGTGCGGGATTTGAATCCATGACCTCTGCGATACTGGAGTAGTGCTCTATCAACTTAATTAACACACTGAATTACTATTTTCCGCAGGCGGAGAAAGTGAGTGATCACTGGCCCGTTGAGATACAATTCAAGGATTCTAGTGAGTCAACTTTTGTTGTAATCGTAAGATAAATAACAACGGATATTAGAGACTTTTTTTTTTGTCCTAACCACATTTCACTTAGAGTCTGACTCCTCTTTGACAGAAATGTGGAAAAACTGAATCAGTTTGTCAATTTTCTGTTCTTTTTGTTTTCTTGTAAAGCTTACAGAGACGAGGAAGAGTTCTTCAAAGAGTCTGTTACAGTCACCATCAGGGATAAGAGTACACCAAAGGTCGAGAAATATGAGCTTTACCCGCTGCGTTCCAAAACGAAAAACCCACTTCTGAGGCAAGGTTTCACTGCGGAAACTTTTCTCGACAACGCCCGTAAAATTGACACAATCATCATCTCAAAGGAAACTACTTCAGTCGGAGAAGCGAGAGAGGCCGTAGAGATTTTCCGCAAGACTTACCCAGACCTGGTCTCCTCCACACAAGAAGCTGTGAGCAAACGAAAAATCAGCCAGGTAACACAGGTTGGAGATGACAACTGCGTCGCTAGACCGCACGAGGCAACAGTCTACCAAATGCTCTCCAATACTTGCCATGCTGTGAAAGTGAAGGAGATTTATTCAGTTCAACTTGCGTGTAGTTTGCCGCTTGGCTTGTGTGAGATCAAAGTAAAAGCAGCTAATTAAACCATATTTCTTTTGGCATTGCAACGATTTCCATTCCGTCAGCTTTTTCGTAAATTACCAGTAGCCTGCCATTTTCCGTGGTCTGTTGAGCACAAACCATTGAACCTGAGATGAAGGCACACCATCCATATTTGGCGATACTCTACTTTAGCCCTTTCATCTTTCGTCCAATGCTTGGCACAGTATTAAGTCACACGCTTCATAACCTAGGAAAAAATGGGAGCTCTAGATGCCGGTTTATTTCACTTGTTTGCTTTATTTTGGTTCAATACTTACTCGGGCAGTCCTCGGGCAGTGCAATGTTAAATTGATTAATCATGCCAAATAAAATTTGAACTGATCGCTATTAAGCTTTAGTGTGAGTACAATGTTGGAAAAAATAAATATTAGCACCATTAGGTACCAATAATATGTTCTTTGACACCTAAATTCCCAGCCCCTTAACATATATGACCAGCGACGCCGGTTTCAATTTGGCCTCTAATTCCGATCCGCTGACCAGAATACGCAGACATGAAGGAAGGTAGCAAACGACGTAAGGGACTTATCCCTTATCGCCAAAACCTCAAACACAGCCTTATAACTAGACATATTATGTAAGGCGGGGATGAGGGATAAATAAAAAACAATTTTAGGGTTAAGGACAAGCAAATAGTTTTAGTTGTGGTGTGATTAAGGTCAGGTTCAAAATAAATTATTCGCGTTTTCGCAAAACTGAAGACCAAAATGCCGCAAAGGCCAATAGAGGCCAAAACGACCATTGGTGGCAAGAATTCCAAACGGCCACTAATGGCAAAAAGGCCAAATCAGCCACTTCTGGCCAAAATGCCAAATCGGCAACTAGTGGCCTAAATGCCAAAACGGTCACTAGTGGCCAAAATGCCAAAACGGCCACTAGTGGCCAAAATGCCAAAACGGCCTCTACTGGCCAAAATGCTAAAACGGCCACTGAATAGCCAAAATGTCAAAACAGCCACAAGTGGCCAGAATGCCAAATGGCCACTATTGGCCAAATTCCAAAACGGCAACTAGCGGCCAAAATGCCGAAACGGCAGCTAGTGGCCAAATTGCCAAAACGGCCATTAGTGGCCAAAATGCCGAAACGGCTTCTACTGGCCAAAATGTTAAAACGGCCACTAGTGGCCAAAATGCCAAAATAGCCACTAGTGGCAGAAATTGCAAAACGGCCACTAGTATAAAATACCAAAACAGCCAGAAGTGGCCAAAATGGCCACTATTAGCCAAGATGCCACAACGGCAACTAGTGGCCAAAATTCCAAAACGGCCACAAGTGGCCAAAATGCCAAAACGGCCACTAGTGGCAAAAATGCCTAAAAAGCCGCTAGTGGCCAAAATACCAAAACGGCCACTAGTGGCAAAAATGCCTAAAAAGCCGCTAGTGGCCAAAATACCAAAACGGCCACTACTGGCCAAAACGCCAAAACGGCAACTAGTGGCCAGAATGCCAAAACGGCCACAAGTGGCCAAAATGCCAAAACGGCCACTAGTGGCAAAAATGCCTAAAAAGCCACTAGTGGCCAAAATACCAAAACGGCCACTAGTAGCCAGACTGCCAGAACGGCCACTAGTGGCCAAAATGCCTAAACGGCCGTTAGTGGCCAAAATGCAGAGACGGCCGAGTAGTGGCCAAAATGCCCACTAGTGCCCATAATGCCAAATCAACCACTAGTGGCCAAATACCCAAACGGCCACAAAGGGTCAAAAAGCCGAACTGGACACTACTGGCCAAAATGCCAAGTCAGCCACTAGTGGCAAAACGCCAAAACGGCCATTAGTGGCCAAAATGCCAAAACGGCAATAAGTGGCCAAAATGCTAAAACGGCAATAAGTGGCCAAAATGCTAAAACGGTCACAAGTGGCCAAAATGCGATAACGGTCATTAGAGGCCAAAATGCTTAAACAGCCACTGCTTGATACTGATGCTAGGGTGGGAAAGGTAAACTGGAAATGCAGATTATAAACTCCCTTGGTCGCGGTTGACATAATGGCGGTATAAGAGGAACCACTCATTTCCAGACGTCACGCTCCCTTAATACCTTGCGGGCGGGAAACTAGGGGCGGTTCTCGTTCTCTGCCCACAAGGGAGTGGGGAGCGT